AAGGTGTACTCATGTCTCATTAATAAAAGGATAATCATTATATGTAGGGTATTCTGGTTAACTTTCCCTCGTAATAACTTTTGGGATTTTCCTAAGATTTATAGCTGATGACTGAATGATTTGGGAAGGGTGAAATAGAAATTATTAGGTTATTTTGCAACTATTTAATGTTATGAAAAGTCCAATTATGCACACATAGCAATGAAATTTTGGAAATCAAGTACAGTCCCATATTATCTTGTAATTATCAGCTAACTATGCATTCTGTTTCTGATCTGTGATGGCGCCAAAATAAATAACTTGTTTTAGTTTGCAAGCTCATTTCTATGACTTCTCTTAGCAACTCCCATCCCATTTTTTTTTCTCCCCCAAACTGCAGTGGGTTGTAAGCCATCTTTGTATCGTTGTTATTAAGAGTGAGAAAGAGAAATCATAAAGATTATAAAGATCAGTCATACAGATTCTTTTTCCTTTTAATGCATCGCTAAAAAGACTTTCTGCATCAAAGTGTATGATAAGTTCATTCTGATGAGAAAATTAGAAAGTTGGACGTATTTATACCAATCACGGGAACGCGCATGTAGTTAAATAGGTCATTTCCAATTTTAACAATTCCACCCCCGATTTCATTCAGCATCTTTGACACAGAAACCCAGTTTAACTTCTCCTGGGACAGGTGAAGCCCTTGAGCAGCGGTTCCTGCGTGGGGCTGCACATCTCTGGGATTTCTCCTTTACTTAAGGAGAGCTTCTCCAACGTGCGTGCTGTCCCCTGCGGATGCGCTTGGGGTACACCAGGGAAGGGAAAATTATTTAAAACATAAAGGGAAATTCATAAAATGTATTAACTGTGCTGGATGAGGGAGACTAAAATGAGACTAGGTGTTAAAAAGGAGTGAAACAAAGCTACCCAGATTTGAGCTTGTGTGTTTTCATTCATCTCTGAGAACATTTAGCATTCTACCCAGAATGGTTGCATATTGTGTGCATATTGCACGTACATAGAGTGTCTGTTGCAGCCTGCAGGATTTCTTTGTAAGATTCTTTGACGACTGGCATGGATGCCAATGACGAAGTTTCTTCTCACTGGAGAAAGTCAAATAGTTTAGTTTCTGGTTGCTTTCTGCTTATGGAAGCCAAGATTATACTCAATACACTTTTCTCTCTGTTTACCAAAGGCCAGAGACTCCAAAAACCTCTTGCCAAGTTTCTCCAAGTTGCAGTCTGCAGTCATCTTTAACTGCCTGCACAATTTGGTGGGAATACACATCCAGGGAATAATGCACGTTGTAAAAACCTTGAGAGGAGTAACAATGGTTACTGATACAGGGGCTGATGGCAGAATAAATTGGGTCATTGACCTCGAACCTCTAAAGGCCTGAGGTTAGATCTGGATTAAATCACGAGTGAAATGATCACAGAGGTTTTGCTTCAAAAATTAGCACTCAGGTTGATTCACTGTGACAGGAGGAGGCGAGGATGCCAGTGACTAAATTAAATAGAATTAGATTGTTATGCCAAAGTGGGACATCTGTTGAGGATAAAGCTTTATTCTCATCCATCTTAACCTAATGAATACCCAAGTTGGATCCCTTTTTTAATAATACATGGTTTAAAAATAGTTTTGAGATGGCATAAAGGATATCACAATGGCACAAGAGGCTGAACACGCACAGTGGCCGCACTAATTTGACAAAAAAAGTTCCTTAATTAATTACAGTTGAGTTCCAGTCCTTGAAACCTAGTAGATACATCTGTGTTCTCTAAAGTCTCCAATGCATTGTCTCCCTCTTCATCCAGCCTCTCCCCAGTATTGGCAAGTATGTGGGACATAGTATCTCAAAAGAAACATCTATTTAAAAAGTAAATAAATAAAAGAAACAAACCTGTATCTAGTACTAAGTTCCATTTATTTAATAAGTATTTTGCAAGTCCCGTAAGTGTAAAATATTTTACATTTATTATTTCAAGGGCTTTCCGAAGTACAGCATAAGATAATTTCAAGTGGCACAAAGACAGGAGGAAGAATGTCTTAAAACATGTAGTTATAAAATCCATTATTTCTCCACTGTACCACCTCAAAAATTATATTTTATCTATTCTTTGAATAAGTATCACATTCATTTGCTTCAGAACTCATAAATTCACACTGTGAAAACCTTTTCTCTTGAATTTCTTATTTAAAAAAAAAAACGCCTCTTCTACCCTTGTGTTCCAGCCATTCATTTCTCATCCTATAAGTTTCTTGTCTATCTTTCTAAAGATGTTTTATTCAGATAAAATAAATATGTGAGTATATATAAAATAAATACGCATGTGTGGATGTATATATAACATACATTATATTTACAGGGATGCAAATATACTGAACTCATTGTTTTACTTTTTGCAATATCTATTTTAAATAATTTCATATCAGTAATAAAGAGTTTTCTTATCCTTTTATTTAGCCACATAATATTCCATCCACTTGCCTTTGAATCCTTACTCACAGAGAGGAGGAAGTGTTAGTGTGGTGCCAGTACTTCTGAAATGGCTTTTTTAAAGTGTTCTAATTCCCCTTTTCTCCAAAAAGAAACTAAACCTCAGTTACACACTCTTAAGAAAATTAAGGCAAAGTCCTGCCATAGTCTAAACAGAGGGCAAGGAATTCAATAATATAAAATGTGGGGCTACATATGGTGAGGATATTGAAGGGACCCTGGCCAGCGTGCCCAGCGATCCCGCCAGGAATTCTCAGGATCTCACTGCAGGATTCAAACCCATGCATGTCTGGGGACTGCTCATACCACCTCACAGCACCTGTCAGTCAGGATGATTCTCCCTCCAGGAGCTGCCTGGAGTTTCCAGAACAATGGCCATGATTCCAGAACTCTTCTGTTTAGTGTCCATTTTGTCCACCCAATCCAGAGAGGTTGGGTCAGAAGACGACCAGGGAACACACTTCGTGCATCCTAGCTTCTCAAGACCAGATTATCTGCTATTTCTCTGCCTAGTCTTGCCTTGGTTCCACGTTTCACTACCCTCATTTTTAAGATCAGAACTCTTTGACCTGCGAAGTCATCTAAGATGCACATCATCCCTGCACAGAAGTATATTCTCCACATGGTTTAACTGGGCAAACTCTATTGATAAAGTGTTCCTGCCATCGCTATCTGATTGCTGAGCTCTTTAGGTCTGTCTGTGAAACAGCTGAATAAGGATGATAGAGACATAGTGGTGTGGTATTGTTTACCAATACAACGCTGCTAGACTCAGGGTGTCCAGACCCGTGGGTTAGCACCATTGTTTTCAATCCCCGTATCCTTAACATTGTAGGTGTCTTTCCCCAACCGGATGAGGACCTCCAAGTGACCATGTCTTCTATAATCATATCCTGATGAGCAGGACTTAAACATAATGACATAATATATGCTTATCCCATGCTTGTGCATAGTTGGTGTCAAATAAGTATTTGCCTCCTTCCTCTCTTCCTCTCTCTCTCCCAAAGCATGGGTTGTAAGGCTGAAGTCTCCCTCACTAAACAAACATGGCCTTTGTCGGCAAGGATAAGGTGCCTGGCAAATAGCAGGCACTCAACCTATGGCTCTAAACCCCAATAATTTGAGTTTGAATCCACCACTTGCTGGTCTTTGCTAAAACTCTGAATTGTAACCTGTCATCCTATAAAATGGGTATTATAAGTACTTGGAAGGAATAATTAAGAAAATCTCCCTTAGCAGCTGGTGCATAGGAAGTGCTCAAATAATTGTGGTTCACATGCTCACCTTCTTCAACAACTTGTCTCTGTGTGAAGCTTTCTCCCTTTTCCCTTTTCGCTCTTTCATTTATAGGTCTGAATCCTTACCCTCCAGATCCCTGGGGATCTGTTCAGTCCCCCAGTTCATTAACATTCAGCAGGTACTAAGCTCGGATATGGACCTGGGGAGCAGCAGAATCATGAATCAAGAAACCCAAGCTCACGGATCACGACATTGTCAATGGTACCTATGGACCCAATTTACTTACCTCACTACTGCTCAAGGGAATCCCCAAACCTGGCACAACATTTTAGTTAATAATATGCAGCAACCCTGAAACTCATACAAATCAACAGGACATCTGCTTGCCTTAGATAAATTAAATTAAAAAAAAAAGCCTGTTACTGTCACATTGATTACAAATGAGTATACAGGAAACTCAGGGGATAAGAGAGTGTACGCCCTAGGTCACAGGGTGGTTTAAGAATTCACTAGTATCCAAAATGCACAGAAACAGCACTGTCCAACTTTTTATTTTGAAAAATATTCAAGCCAAGGAAACGGTGATGAATACAATGAATACCACTGCAGCTGGACTGAAAGGTTATTTTGCGGAGTCATCTGAGCATAAGCTGTGGATATCCAGGTCCTGAGCATCTCAACACTTCATCAGGCACCTCCAGGTAGGACGGCGTGCTCCTGCAGCATCACCAAAGCGGTTCTCCCACTCAAAAAAGTTAACACCGATTAAAACTGCGTCGGAGCTGCATGTTAAAACCAGATTCCTAAGTGTGCTTGACCTGGGAGATATTCCTCTTGGAGGAAAACTCTGCTCTATAAACTCTGATGATTAGGTGGTCAGAATCCCACTCTTTAGTGGATGCAGAAGGACGAAGAATTACCAACAAAGAATGGTCTTTGGAGGTACACAAGCGTGGATTTGAATCTAAGCTCTGCCATTTACCATCCCAACCACACTGCCACACGGTAAAAGAAGAGAAAAATACCCATGTCATTGGGCTCTTATGAGATTCAACAAGGTAGGTTATGCAAAGAGCTTGAACAATCATTGATCCCCAGTAAATACTGGTTTTCCTTCTGCGTGTTCCATACCAAACAAACAAACAAATCTTGGAATTTTCATAGAAAAAAACTCTCTCTCAAAAAAAAAAAAAAGACAAAAGCAGAACAGAGCAAAACAAGCAACAATAGCAATAAAAATAAGCTCTTCCTGGGTTTTTCAAATGAAACCCAAGAAACGCGAGAAGGAGAGAGTTTGCTCAGCTGTTGGGATGACAATGGCAGGCAGCGGGCAGGACCTCAAGCTGGAGAATGGCTCGGGATTTTAGGAGTAAGTATACAGATGACTATTTATTTTACTTAAACAGTTTGTCTAATCTCAATAAAACATGGATGAAAGAAATAGCAGTGGTCCAGATTAGCAGGAAAACCTGAATTTTGCCTGTTTCTGTTCCAGTCAGAATCTTACTGGCCAACAGAATCCCAGCCTGGGTGAGGGGCTTTATCCAAGGATGCAGCTGTGTCTCTGAAAAGCTCGTCTTTTTAAGGATGGTCAGACCCACGTTCTGAAGGGAGGACAGAAAAAGGGAAGATGATCAGCAAAGGGGTTCACATTTTTTTAGCCCATTTTAGGGGTCAGACACCATCCAAACACTTGATTAATGTTTTTTTTTCCCCCTATTTTGTAATCTGATTTTTTTATTTGACAAAAGTATGGGCTTCTGTCCATCTTTCTTTTTTTTTTTTCTTTGCTTTTCTCTCTCTCTCTCTTTTTTTTTTTCTTAATAGACTTTATTTTTTTAGAGCAGTTTCAGGTTTACAGCAGAACTGAGCAGAAAATAGAGTTCCCACATCGCTCTCCCCACCCACACATATATACCCTTCTACCCTCAACTTGATACATGTTTTAAATTAATTCTAATAAACATCGTGTGTGCAGTTACGATACCTTTTGATTTGGTAGATAAGCAAAATGACGCTCAGAGGAGTGAGTATGTTTTTTAGAGTGACTTAGCAAAACGATGTTTAGATTCTTCTTTAAGCCTTTTGAGGAGACATTTATTTCTACTCTAACCCTCTATTTAAATTATTTAAATACATTCATTACAGAAGTTAAAAGATGGTAAACTTTTTTTTTTAAATTGGCAGAAGAAGTAACCAAAGCTAGAGCTTCAATTAAGCCCTCAATTAAAAATTTTAAAAGTTCCCACCCCGTATCTCCCGGTGACTGACTGTCTGACCTTGGGAAATCTCCTATTCCCATATAACTGTGCCCTTATTCTTTTAAATGAAAATGTATCTTGAGTAAAGAACTGAAGTGATAGCATACTTTTAAGGATATAATAGATGATATAGGGTTTGTTGTTTTTTTTTTCCCCTTTCAGGAAGACCAGAACATTAAATATTTTTGAAAGTCAAAAAAGTGCCACTGTGACTTTCAATTATGTCCCATTTCCATGCTGCCTCCAAACTTCCTGATCCCAGCTGGGATGGTGATCAAAAATGCAAAAACATATGTAGAAAAGTTATTCTTGGGGAACATCTGACCGGAAGCAGGAAATGCAAGCTATCTCACGGGACTGCCTATTATCAAAATATACCCAGGCCAGCCCGGCAGAGGCGGGAGGAGTCTGTCACCCAGATAAAGAGACTCACGGAGAATTTCTAGTGTAGAGCCATGTGAAAGGAGAGCAGGGAGAAGTGTCCCTCATGTTCCTGTCCCTGGTCCACTGCTGTGTCCAGGTGTGGCCTTGGAAAGTCTCATTTAACCACTGCCAGCCTCACCAAACACATCTATAGAACAAATCTTAGTAAGGGATAACTTTAAAGTACGTGTTCTTCAAAACACTTGTCCATAGGAAACATCCTTTAATTATTCTCAACTGATAAATAGGAGATAACATATGCCCGGAGTAGTCTGCTAGAAAATTACCAAAGTAACTTACACCATCCCTATGCATACACACACACACACACAAACTTTGCTAACTGAATTTGAAATCAAACATTTAATTGTTCCTGTAAGTCTTGAAAATATTTATTTGAGCTTTCCCAATAAAATTCAATTTCATGAAAACATGTATTTTAATTACATGGTGATTAAATTTCTTCCTTTTTTTTTTTTTTTTGGTAAATAAGATCTTCAAGAATTCTAGCCAGGTATCCTGAACTCATCCATCATAAAATAACTGGCACACAGCAGGCAACTGGAAAAAGGATATCTTTTAACCTCCACTGGCATAAACTGTGTATTTATTTTTAAGAAGTGGAATATAAACAGACATGCTGAGAGCCAAGTGTTTTATGAATAAAAAAAAAATTCCATACACACACACACACACACATAAAACTTTCCCCAATGGGCCACCGAGGATTTATGTGGATGTGAACTCTATTTACTGTTAGTATTAAGGAAATAGTGGCTTTTTAACACGTTACTCATGCCTGGAAAAAATCCCAGTTTTTCAAGTTATCCAAGATTCTTTGCCAACTGTCCGTGGGAATCACTGGGATGGGAAAAGTTCAAATGTGTTTTAAAAGAACTTGCTTAATGGAAAATTAAAAAAAAAAAAAGTCAAAGAAAACCAGCAACCCGCTGTGCTAATCTTTTGGTTAAATAAGAATAAAGGATGGCCTGGTTGCTTTAGTTTTTGTTAGTATTATTTTAAGAAAAGGAAAAGAAAACTTTTTTAAATGTTCCATTTTTATGTTACCCATAAAGTCACATTTAGGACTGCATTTCAGTTATCCAGGGACATGATGACCTGCTGGCTTGGGTTAGCTTAAAACTGTCCCGAAGTGGGGCAGGAGGACCCTCAGTCAATGCTATCAAATTAAAAGCTTGACTTGACTCTTCATTATCTGCCGTTTTCATAAAGCTCTTTTATGTTCTCGTCCAATCAAGCAGTGGTCTGGTTACGTTGTCGCTGTCAATTTTGAAACTACGAAGGACTAAAAAAAGCCAACATGAAAAGCCGAGGGATGTACAATTTTAAATTATAAGGACTCTTTTACATACAACTACAGCAGCAAAATCCTAGAACCTGTTGGCTGACAGGCACTGTTCCAAGGGTTTTTATACCATCGCTCCTTTCAAGTGACACAACCACCTCATCAAATAGGCACCTTTTGAATGTTTGCTTCTTATTCTCCTTTTACAGGTGTGGAAACTGAGGCCCAGGGAGATTACATAACTTCCATGCATCATGCAAATCCTCACGGGTGAAACTGGGATGGGAATGCAGGTGGGCGGGCTCGAGTTCTTGTTTTTAACCTCTTATGCTGCTTCCGAGAAAGTCTATTTCGTGAATTCTTTTACCAAGAGATTTTATGAGGCTATATCACAAATTAAAGTGGTTCTAATTTGATATGACAGGACCCACTTTTCATACAATAGGGAATGGGAAAATGAAAGCTCTGCTTTTCCATTTGTGATGAAACAGATGTGAAAGTTACCTTGTACCATCCACCCAAAGCCTCTACTTGTTTCCCTCTTCAAAAGGACACTTGGGCAGAAGCATCAGATGTAGCCAGGCTTGTATCTAGAGACAGATCTTATCTAAGCCAAACAAACAAATAAACAAAACCCCCTATTTTCCCCCAAAGTAAACCTAGATAGTTCACTGTCTAGAAAAGAAAGGTAATAAAAGGAATATTCAAAATATTTTCTATTTCAAAGCCATTGTTGACAATTCTTACGAAAGCTGGTTCTTCTGGGGAGATGCTTCATTAAAAAGAATTTTTCACTGTCTTAATATTTATATTTTTAAAAAGGAATAGTTGATTATGTTCTGGAGAGCCTGCCCGTCATTTATATTTAGCATTCATACCCTTATGGAAAAATAGTAAGTCAGGTTCTTTTTTTTTTTTTTTGTCTGCATTTATATTCCTTGATTTTTTTTCAGAATTTAATATCTAGGTGATTGCTTTTACTTGGCACTACTGGGAAACACTGCCAGCTCAGATCTAAATATTTTCACATACGACTACAACAACAAAAGTGTGCTCTGCCGAGCTCCTTTGATTTATAGAGCTTCAAAAAATGGATTTCAGATGCGATTTTTGCCAAGTTGTAAACCAAGAAGTCTTAATTTAAATTTTTCCTGACAGGAACGCTAATTCTTCATCTGAGATAAAGTATTTCAGGATTTTCACACACATAAAATAAGGTCTCTAAATTGCATTCAAGCTGGTATTATTCGCACTATGGCTCTTTTAATACCTTGATAGGCAACATAAACGTACAATATTTTCACTGGGTAGAGTCCCATTGGAATGACTAGAAGAAAGTTTATGCCACGAATGCTGGTTATAATTTTTGCAGTAAAAATACTAGTCAGCATTATTTTATATTAGAGCTGAGGATGTCACTTTAAGTTTATAAAAGAAAGTTGAACTTTCTAATTGATATCACGGAATTTTTTTAATATTTCACAGAAGTAGGAAGCACATACTTACAGTTTTAAAAGGTAAAATTAACAATCATATCTACTGCAGTCACATCACAGAATTTTATGTGTGATGCTTGATTTCTTCTTACGATGCTATCAAAATACACCTGAGAAAGGTGGCATTTCAAGTCGAATAAGAAAGATTAAATTACTCAGTAAATCCTGTTGGACTGAAAGGCTATCATTGGGCAAAAAATAAAGTTAGATTCCTCCTTTACATCATTTACCAAAATAAGCCCTGATATAGTAAAAATTAAATGAAGAAAAGAAAAGGCAAAAGAGGAGCAAATGAATGATTATTTTCATTTGATTAATATGCAAGCCTTTAATAACCAGTTACAGCTTTGGCAAGGGGGAGTGATTTTTACGCAGGATACCAAAGGAACCATGATTGGTAAATACCATTATATCAGGGGAAAAAAAAAAGTTTCACATTGAAAGATCACTATAAGCAGCATAAAGCAAATAAAACCTGGGAGCAATATTCAAAATATTCAACTCATCAAAAGATAACATCCTTTATAAATGAAATGATCTTACAATCAATAAGAAGATGACTAGCACCTTGATAGAAAATTAGGGCATTTGCCATCATAGATAAAATTTTGCAGGTTAAAAAATGTGAATTATAAGAATTTGTTACAGTTTTCACTTTTGAGAGTGACATGCCTTAGTGCGGTGAGTGATAACTTGTGTCAGTTTGTATGGTATAAGAGATGCAGGCCCTCTGGAGGACAATATTCTTGAATTTAGAAATTTCACTTTTAGGCATTTATCCTATGGAGAAAAGAAGTATGGATGCCCACCAAGAGCTAAGTTCAAGGACAAGAAATGCAGTAATATTTATAATAGCAAACGTTTGAAAAAACTTCGATTTATAGACATATTCGATTATTTGAAGAAGACATTGACTCAGTGAAATATTTAAAAACAGACAAAATTCTACCTAAAAAGTATATTACATGGCACGAAACGTTATCTGTGTTGTAATTGTTACGTTAAGTTAAAGACCTAGTCGCAAAGCAATATGAATAGTGTGATTACGTATTTCTGTATATCTGTGTGTACGTGAGGAGATAATCCCTCCTTCACACGCCAATTGATAGGATGAAGTTCTGTGTTGGATACTTTCCTCTCCTTTCTTTCACTTTTACATTTTCTGTTTCCCTCCTAGGATAATACATTGCCTTTTTTTTTTTTTAAGTTTAACATAATTGTTTACTATTTTACAGAAATGAGTACCTAAATACTGTGAAAGTCCAATAGGTGTGAAAAGTTGTGATCATATATTTTGGTCAAAATTCAAAAGGACAGTAAAGCCCTCCCGGGGGCTACACACTGATATTTTAATGTCCTCAGAGTACAAGTCTTTCACTTTATACCATAGGAATGACAGTATGAGAGACATGCAGGTGAATGGCCAAGAGTCAACTCTCACATCTCTTGTTTCTGAGCTCTGGGAAAATGGAAGCCAATGCTCTTCTTAACGGTGGAAGTGACACATTTATGAAAACCCAGGGCAACCATTAAATTATCAACTACACTTCTGTTGTGTTTTTCTTTAGAGGGTCACAGTATTATTTTAACCAAGGTTAGCTGGGGTTTTTTGTTTGTTTGTTTGTTTTCTCATTGTTGTTTCCTGGCCTTACATTGTTGGTGTGGGAAGTAATTTAAACTTTATGGTCCATTTGAAGCAAGATTATTTACATCTGCGTGGCAATGTCTGTGTGCCTGCATGTAATTTATACTTGACTATTATTACTTCTCAAATTCCTCCTCCTTGGTTGAATTTATTACCATTGTAAGCTTGCTGTTTTTCACTTTGGTTAGTCAGAAATTTGAAACTTTTTTTTTAAAGTTTTCTAACTAGGGACTAACAACTGTTGTCTCTGTGTGTGTGTGTGTATGCTTGTTTTGTGCCTTTTTTTTTTTTTTGGTACGGCTTTTAGCATTTTAGTGTTTGGAACTTAGCTTTTCTTAGGTGGGAAATGAAGAATCCACAGTGAGTATTGTGAGATTAGATGTGGTTTTCATGAATGTACTTCAATATTAGTTTATAAAATTACACCAAAAATTTTCCTGAGTATATCACAGGTGAAATATTCCTTGGAAAAAGTATAGTTTTAATCAATAAGGCAGAAGTATGTGTATAGTTCAGATTAGAGCTTCATTTCTTTAGTACAAATTGGAAGCCCGTCATAGTCATTTAAATTCTGGAATCTTGAGTTCTAGAATTTTGGTTTAACATACTATAGAACAAGGAGAAACCTTCTATCAGCAGTTAAAACCTCATGCTTAAATAGAGTCACATCTCCAAACAGAAGACCATTAAAGATCCCTGGATGCTCCCCTTGAGAAAAAGGATGTCTATGACAGAATGTTCCCTGAGGACACTGCATTCTGTCTGAATGAGTCCTGACAAAACTGTGTGCCATTTCTCGTGAGCTGGTGTGTGTAGCCATGAAAGACGCTTTTAAGTGCTATCCATCTTCAGTGTCTGTGATGATACATGTTTGTTTGAAGAAAAATTTTAAATGAGCCTTTAAGTCTTTAGGGATGCACAGTATGACCAGAAAATTCACACTTCTCTCCTCCCCACGTCATAAATTTCTGTCTCCATGTTGTGTCCTGGTGGAGGATGTGTGACCATTGATCAAGGTTGGCCTTTCTTTCTTTCTTTTTTTTTTTTCCATTGACGTATAGTCAGTTACATGTGTCAATGTCTGGTGTACAGCATGTTTCAGTCATACATACACATACGTATATTCATTTTCATAGTTTTTTTCATTATAAATTACTACAAGATATCCTAATTTTTCCATAATTTTAGAAATTCCATGACCCTCTATTACTCCAGGCCCTTCTCTTCCCTGCACTTGCCTAAGATTCCAGTTTCATCCAACGATGAATTTTCCATCTGCATTGCTCTCTCTCTTTTTTTGTTCATTAACATAAAGAATAAGGGTAAACTATTCAAAAGGGGAAGTTGAGGGAAATCCTAATAGTCAAAGAAATTGTGGGAGAACAACTAAACAGAATAAAAGGCTTATCCACTTCCTCTCATCTTAAATCTCTAAGGACATAGGATAACTTAAAGGTCTAGTGATTCCCGTCTGTGGTCATCTTTCTTTCCAGTAGGAAGGAGAGGATGAGGTTAAGTGGCTTGCACAGAAAAAATGACCAAAAGTGGGGTACAGGTTGGGGGAGCAGTGAAACACCTCCTTCTGCAGAAATAATAATTGGCCCTGCTGTGTGGTTTTAAACGAAATTCATTCTGGAAGAAATCCCTCTTTTTTTGTACTTTTAAGTGGCACCTGATCCAGGTAAGAGAACACCTTAATCTGAAGTTTTTGACAGTGGCACTAATTGTTGGCCTTTATTTTTTCATGAACTTACATGAAACTTGTGCCTTTATGTGTTTTGTTCCTATTGACAACTGAATCAGGCAAATTTTCTACCAAAAAAAAAAAGGTGAAGAACAAAAATAGAATGCAGTCTTAAATAGTGAACATTTATCTTTTTGTTGTAGACATGTCGTTTCTTTTAAGATGTTACAGTGCACTTTATATAAACGCTCATGCTGTAGGTTGTAACCTTGGGCTCTGGATCAGGAAATTTCTTCCACAGCCTAATTCAGACTCTCAGCCACATTGGTCACTATTATCTTTTTTTTTTTTTTTAAAGCTGAACCATTGTTCCTGGCTACTTGCTGTTAGTTAAACTGCGCGAGAACATATCCATAGGAGGAGTTCGTAAGTAAGATCACACAACATTCTGTTCTCTAGAATGAACATTTGATTATTTGGAGCGAGAGAGATTCCCAAAATAAATTCAGTGGGAGGGGAGAGGGTTGGAGAGGAGAAGCTGTCAGTCTACAAATGCATTTGCAGGGCATTGCGATTAAAATTGATACAATGTTCCATCTATCTCCTTGGTACCTGTTGAACTGTTGTACTTACCATTAGTACTCCATTTAATACCAGGCTGCAGTTAATAAATTCTTCCTTCCTGTGCAGGAAATTGACTAAAAGACACAAAATTAGCTTTTAAATTTTAAAGAATTAAGATCTGGATGGCTGACTTCTTTTCCTTTTTTTTTTTCCAGCTACCTTGAGAATGAGCTCTGAACCCTGTTCTTTGCACAGCCAGCACCTGTGAGCTCCTCATTCCTCGGACTTTGCTTCGAAAAGAGGTGATAGCTGTGCTCTCCCAGATCTGCCCTGCAGCCGTTCTCAGGAAAAATCCGGGCTTGGATAATTGTCTAGGCCTCAGGCCCCAGAGGCCAGAGAGGTCAAGCTTTTGTGTTGGGATGTTGCCTGGACTTCTGTAGATTCTTTGTCTGGAAAAAAGATAACGAGGGCTTCCTGCACCCACCACACTCCTCCATCCTCAACTGGATGCACAAAGGCGCACCTTCCAAAAAAGGGGACATCTTTATGGTTTCCGTGGGGACATTATAGAGCTATGTTGAATTTAAGAAACAAAAAGGCACATTGTGCAAAAAATATAATGCAGCAAAGTCCCAATGTGAGAACAATGCATAGACTGAAGTATAAAAATCAAACCTTTTACTTATGGTGAAAAAGAATATGAAAACGAATATATGTACATTCATGTATGATGGAAGCATTGTGCTGTACACCAGAAATTGACACAACAGTGTAAACTGACTACGCTTCAAGAAAAAAAAATATACAAAAAAAAATCGAACCTCTCAGTTGATAAAATTTTTTGAGACTTTTTAAAAAATCTATTTTGATATATAGTGGCTAACATTTGTAAATCTCAAACCCCCAAATTTATCGCTTCCCACCTGCATTCCGCGGTAACCATAAGATTGTTTAATGTCTGCAAGTCTGTTTCTGTTTGTACATGAATTCATAGTGGCTTTTTATTTTTTTTAAGATTCCACATATGAGTGATCTCATATGGTATTTTTCTTTCTCTTTCTGGCTTACTTCACTTAGAATGACGATCTTTAGGTCCATCCACGTTGCTGCAAATGGCATTCTTTTATTCCTTTTTATGTCGGTTGATAAAATTCTTATGCAGAACAACGTGTGAAACTTTATATAATAATAAGACCCACATAAACCTCTTGAATTGGTATGATGGACACTAAGAGGAAACACTGCTAGTATTTAGAAAAGCAATGTTAGGATGGCAGTGGGTTTTCATTGTTTGTTGTTGTTTAACAGTTTGTGTCTTCATTTGTTTATTATGTCTGTTTAGTTCATAAGAAAAGAGAAATATTTATTATTCTTATATGTCTTCACAGGAAGGTCTGAATTCTTTGTCTCTACCACCCCATCTTCCCTCAAAACCTTGGCAAAGAAAGCATCTGATTAGAAAAATCCAACAAAATTAATCGTTTTTTTTTCCTCTGACATCAAGAGGTCTCGTAAGCTTCCCTGGTGTCCTGCAGTGGTAGTGGATCTACCAAAACAAAAAAAAAAATTCCTGCATCTACTTTAGAACAGGAGAATTTATATCTTCTAAACAAGAATGACCCATTATCATCTGAGACACCCATAAATTGTGGAAGAACCACAGAAGAGAAGGGCAGGTGTTTTCTTTAAACCCTCCTCAAGGCGGCCTTCGCCCATCTGTTGAGTATTTGTGTGCTCGGCTTTTCAAAAAAAAAATTCTCTATATAGAGAATAGATGTAGGATGGGGTAAAAAAAAAAGAATAAAATTTAAAAACTTTCCTTTTTTTATTTTAATTTCAGCCATTTCTACTGTACAAGTCTTTTTTTTAATTTTTTTAAGTCTTCTAGTAGAATTGTTTTTATTTTCTTTGGGATTTTTTTCTTGAGAAATTACTGATTGCTACCTCTACCACCCTTAGATTTCCTTTGACATCATAGTGATGCATATATAAGAAAATTAAATTTCTCTTTAGTAGTGGTGACACATTTTTCAAATATTTAAAGAATAATCCATTACTGTTAATTATCCGAAAATCCTTGCCTCTTTGCTTTAAACAGTTGCTCCAGCATGCAGTCATTATTACTATTTTTTAAATGGAGGTACTGGGGATCAAACCCAGGACCTCGTGCATGCTAAGCATGTGCTCTACCACTGAGCTCTACCCTCCCCCCCACCACAGGGGTCATTCTTTGTACCTTATTCTTTTGGTTTGGCTTTTGAATTTCATTTCTCCAAATTGACTCTTTTATAAGATAATGGGAAAAGCTGTTTTCTAAAGCTAGAACCACTTATCAATTTTCCAGTGAGCCTAAACTTAAAAGAATGTTTTTGAAGTTTGAGAGATGCTTACCAAGGTATCCATGCTACTGGGCAGCATTTTCCAGGTAATTATTACTTGAGTGGGAGGGACATTGGTAGGATAAAACCAGAGCTTTAAGAATGGGCCCCTGAGGGATGGTGCAAAGCTTTCTGCAGTTTGCACAAATGCTTTAGAGCACTGAGCCCTCAGTAGACATTCTATCTGACTACTGAAGGCAAACTGAGTGTCCAAGATTGAACCATTGCCTTGAACTGGGCCCTGCTATAGCCAAGGAGTCATCAGATGCTATATATTTTGCCACCTAAAGAAAGTTCTGGTCTTGGGACTAAAGTGCCCATTGGACAAGAGTCTAGATGTTTCCTCAGGCATGCATATAACTGCTCACATGCAGCCATTACCAGGCTTTCCAACATGCCATGACTCCTTGCCCTGACCTGAGCTCGGCTATTCAGCCATTCAAAACACATACTGAGTTCCCACATTATTCTAGGTACTGTATTAAATAATGTGCCTACCATGCTTCACAAAATTGATACAATTATTCCACCAAGAGATGATTAAAGAGTATCAACTCTCTGCCTAACACAGTTATAAGAAGATATAAGAAAATCAAAAGGATTCCTCTGCTTTTGTGTACTTTCTTTTGCTTGAGAAAAAAAAAATATTCACACCAAAAACTCTTATGAAGCAATGCAAGATAACATTCTTTTCTCCATTCTTCACAACTTCTCTTCCTTTCCAGAAGTTAAAAAATGTACTCAACCTCTGTGAAATTAATGTTTCTAGGACGATGCAGAGAATAGAAATATCCTAGATCCAGAGGAAATCTCAAAACATTCTCTTTGACACGAACACTGTCCTTCCTCACTCAGCTGAGAGAACCTCTCCTACTCTGGTTATTCTAAGTTTCCCTAAATGTTCAGACTCAACTGTAAACCAGCATCTTTATAACCAATGATTGTGTTTTATTTTTAAAAGCATCTTTTTTTGTGTGTGTGTGGCTTGACCATGTTTTGGAGAAGTCATTGAAACTTAGATTAAGCTGAGTTTCTGGCCCAGAAAGAAGGCACCTCAGATAGCATGAGTTCCGTTCCATCAGATGGATATTGGATATTGTCGAAACAGGGGCAAGATTTGAGTGTTTCTGAAATGTTTCAGTCTGTCCTTAGATTCATTTTCTCCTTAGATTTTATACTATTTCTGAGCTTGTCTTGGACTTGTCACTGTCTCATCAGAACATATCTCGTAACTTTTATCTCTGCATCTCAAAAGAGGAAGTTTAATATTCTGCTCAATTTTTTCACATTTGGAAGTTACGTTTTGTCCCGATCTATGATAAAACGCTGGGACATCCAACTGCCAGGGCCTCTTTTGATCAAAGCTTGTTGGACACGTTTATTTCACTTGGTCCCTGTTTTCTTGGACACAGGGTCAGGAGCATGAGAATGTTCTTCTGGCCGTCATGTCCATGGACGGGATATTTTGTTCTCTTGTGTTTAACCACTACAACGCTGCCCTCATCCTTCCTGCGACTTGAAACAAATCTGAATCCAGAAAATATTGATCTCATCACTGCCGTGTTGTTGAAATCATAAAACTACACAACCGGAGTGCAGAAAGCCAAATTTTATAAACACCCTAACGCATGGCACATGACTAAGTGATAAATCTTGACACGTTTACCAAACAAAGTGAAAATCTTCATTTGTCTTCGGAAAGAGAAGCACTCCCATGTGTTCGGACATCTGTACAGTCAACATGTGGCAATTACTGTGCGAAATATAGGATCACTGTGACTGCTGCTGCAAATTACGGCTACATTGATTAGTATCTTGCTCCCCCCTCAAACCCTTCACTTCATCACAAATAAGGGGGCACACAGTCTCAAGGCCTTTGAAGAGATTTTCCCCAAACCGTTTTAAAATAGATTTGCTCCCAGCAGGCTCTCTTTACACCATTACATAGTCTTTGCTTTTTGCTTAAGGATGTCATGAGTATTTCTCACACACCGTTAGTGTATGTTTACTTGAGCACTAAAATTAAATACACATAATGAAGCCATCTGTGGCAAGCAGAATTAATAAGTGGAATACCATATTGCTGTGAAGATGTGTATGCAACAAGCACGGGACGCACACCGTTCTCCGTGGAACTTGGCATTCCTCACGTGTTGCTGAGGAGTTTTGAATGAGTCCCAAGTTATTTCGGTGTCTGGGGATTGCATACTGAGGCTGGAAACCTCCGCAAGAAGCTCATCTCATCAAATGTTTCCAATTCCTCGTACAAGACTTTTCGATCAGGAAACTGTAATGTGAGACACACACGTTATGATGTTTGGGAAACTGATCAAAGGAGGATTATGAAATGCCAATTGCTACTCTGAAAACGACTTTTCTTAGCTTTCCATTCTGTTTTCCCTCCACGTTAACCAGAACTGACTTTGGGTTGATTATTTTTCAAGATATAGATGAAGGGACATTCCCAGATGACATCAAACTGACCCACTACATCTGTCAGAATTTCCCGGGAAGGTAAAGAAATAGAGTAGGAGGCAATCACCCATGAGGTGCACCTGGCTTCTATATAAATATACGAGGGATTGATTATTTATGCCATTTCTGTCAAGGCCATGTTTGTCTTTATTTCACAAGCAAATTTCAGATTATGCTGGAGATGCTACAAAGCCTGGCTAAGGCAGAGAAATGGAATTTAGCCTTTGAACCTGTTGCAGGGGGAAGTTAAACTGAGTTTCAGATTCATTTCCTTCATGCCGCCCCTAGAAAAAAGAGGGCACGAGCTGAAAGGTATGCAGCAGTGCACCTGGCCTCAGAAAGGGAGGACGGCGCTGCCGAAGGAGGCACGTCACGTAGAAGGCACTGGGTAAACAAATGTGGGCTTACCCAGGGCTTTCTTCCTGCTGGCACAGCATGGCTGTCCTAGGAAGGTG